CACCCTCAGGAGACTGGGAGGGGACTTTAAGGGAAAAAAAAAAAAAAAAAAAAAAAAAAAAAGGAAAAAAAAAACCAAACAGATAACCTCCCCTGCCACCCGGAAACTGTCTAAAGCATTAAAGAATTTGGGTTTAAAAAAAAAAACAAAAACAAACACAAAAAAAAAAAGAAAGAAAGAAAGAAAATGGAAAAAATATATCCCACAACCTTCTTATTTGATAAACTTTACAAGCCCCTACGGAAGGTGCATCTGAAAAGCTATTCCACAAGGGCTTCTCTGCCGCTTCATGGGGTTTGTACCAAACGAGAGGGGGAAACTGCAGCCTAAATACGGATCTGAACACAGCTCTGAAACATACAAACCACAAACAGGCATAAAACGCAATTAATACTAAGTTTTTCATATAAACCCAGGGGCTTTTCCCCTACCTATCCACTTTCGGACTACTACCACATTTTTTTCCAGGGGGTGGGATTAGGATCTCTGACAATTATTTTTTTTGCAAACCCCACATTTTTGGCGGAAGAGGGGGTTAGCTTCAAAATCTCGCCCATATTATTTTCCTCCACTTTTTTTTTTTTTTTAATTTGCAATTACACAACGTTTCATCCATGCAGTTACTATCTGAAACCTTTACTTTCTCATGAAGCAACATCCAGATTTTCTTGTTTCTCAAGTCCACCCCTTTCTACATACACAAACACATACACACACGGAGAATTGGTTTAAGACAAAAACAATCCCCCCAAAATAATAATAAAGGACTCACCTCTCCTTGGGTTTTCCCACACACACTATGCATAAACTTTCCGTGATAAATGGTATTGTATTACTAGAGATATTATTAATGTATTATTACTAGAAGTAATAATAATAGTAAGTGCTATTTAATTATAGAAGGCAGCATTCTGCTTCTGGATCAGCTGCCCCTGCAGCTCCCTCCATGTGCCTCCTGATCTCTTTACTTTCATTTCCAGGTCTCGCTCGCTCGCTCTCGGCTGCACCAGCAAGAGAAAATGCCTCCCTGCATATCCTCTGGGCCCTAGAGGCTACCGCTTTCCATTACAAAAAAAAAAAAAAAAAAAAAAAAAAAAAATCGGAAAAAAAAAAAATCCCAGCTCTTTCCCTGGTGGTTGGTTGGTTTAGAGATTCTTTAAGGTGAATTAGGCTTTAAAAAAAAAAAAAAAGGAAAGAAAAAAAACCACGAAAGTGCTTAAGGCGGTCGAGGCTCCGTTCTTTCTTTTTTTTCTTTAATGCAATATTTTTCTTCTTCCCGGTTTCCTTTGCTAATATATACATAAAATCTACCCCACAAGAAAGGCAAGCTGCCTCTGCAGAGTGACTGCCTGCATGCGAAGCACGGCAACGAACCCAATTATGAGACAACCCCCCCCCCCC